AAAAAAAAAAAAAAAATAAGAACTACCTCAACAAACGTTCTCGAACGTACTCGAAACTACTGCGAAACGTTCGAGTAAAATATCCACAGTTAGAAAGAGGAAATTCTCGTTTCGAATCAACACGAGATCCGTTTCAAACGGATAGAAGTTAAATTCCCCGTTCCATTCTCGTTTCCGTTCGCCGCTCTCAGAAATCAAACGTGTCCCAAGGATTAGAGATCCCGCCCTGGTAACGAACGTTTCAATCGGAGAAATCGTTTTACACGGCGATCGGATTTTTCCACGTTCGGGATCGGCCGAGCAGCAGTACGTTCCTGGAATTCATCCCGACCGGTGAACGTCATCCCCTCGAAGCTGTCTGTCATTGCAGACTTCGGGGATGCCAGACAACGAGAGCACACGCGCGTCGAGAAAAAGGAAGAGTGGGAAAAAGCAACGGGACTGAACGGGGATGGACGAAGACGAGACGAGTTCGAGGGTTGGCGGGCATTGTCCGCAGGAAATAGAACGAGGGTAGCAACGACGGATTCGTATATACGGAGGAGAGCAGGCCGTGGTTGAGCTGATAATCCTGAGGAAGAACGGCTTAGCGGCTAAGTTGTCGGGCTTATCTGCCCGTTGCTTTTTGCTATACGCGATGCGATGTAAGACATCTACTTTCTCCACTGTTACGTGGAAAAGTTAAAAGGGTCGAAACATTCATACGTCGATCGAAATCCGGATCGCGATTTCGTTCACCGCGTTTTGTTGATCCGGACTGAATGAACACGTGAAACGTGAATTAAGAATGACAAAGTTATGAAAAAGCTGGGAAAATATTTCACGATAATTCGATTAGAAAGAGGAAAGGTAAAACGAAACAAGACATTGGAAAACAGACTCCCTCTTTACGTAGTTGACAGTCGAGGAACTTTTCTCGTTTGGCCTTCTAATTTCGGCCGATAAACTCTTGCTTAATGCAATTATCCTCCCTTTTCCTCGGGATACACTCCCGTAATCGAATAATTTTCCCCCTTTTCGCCTAATACACCAACGATAATAA